TCTCTCTCTCTCTCTCTCTCATACGTACCCGTACATAAACACACTTGTACTTACGTACACACCCAAACATCTTTTAGGTGCATTGAAATATAATCCTTGAAAGCCCTTATCTCTACTTATAAAATGGTGATTGGTGAATATATCGCTTTGCAGCAATACCCGTTCCTAACCTAAACGGAGCGAGGCAACACTTGTGATAGAGGAGTGGGTGGTTGGCGGGTGCTCGGGATTGGTTTGCTCCTTCTTTCCTATCAAACGTCTATCGTCCTCATCACTCCTTTTTGTGTTTGTTTTTCTCTTATAACACCTCTAATCTTCGGCACTTATTTGACCTCATTGTGTTTTAAAAGTGCCATCAAACGCTGATCAAAATGTGATAAGGGTGGGGGTAGTTTATTCCTACGCTCTACTTAATAAATATTGATACTTTGCAGGGGGGAGCATTAGTTGATCCAGTTTTAATTAATTGAACGAGGAAGAATTGTTGAAAAGAAGACAGGGTGTGCATGAAAATAATTATTACACATAATGTGTATACCAGCGTTCATATTTATCACTAATGTTTACACTATTCTCACTGTCAGAGAAGTTGAAGGGGGCTCTCGTGGCCTTGAGGTTAAGGTGTTCACCTCTCTTTCAAAGGTCCCGGGTTCGAATCCGGGTAGCGACCGAAAAATATTTCTTATCTAAAATTATTTCCTTTCATCTCCTTTCCTGCTCTCTCGCAATGTTCTGTCGTCTGCTTTCGTCTCCCCTTTCTGCCCTCACCTTCACATCTTTTGCCCCCTCCTCTGGGCTCCTGACTCTTTCTGTAGCCTTTCTACTGCTACTCCTTGGCTCCTTCTTACTGCTGTCTTTCAGCCGTACCCCTGATCTTCTGGTAAGAAAGATCTGCCCCTGGTCTTCTCGGGAAAAGGCGAAAAGTCTCAGAGGGCCCGTGTGCACGTTGCGCACGCTAAAGACTAAAGATCCCTTGGTGGTGTAAAATCAATAAAAATAGGCTTCGGCGCCACCCGGGCAAAATTCAAAATTTTGTACCAACTGAAAAAGTTTAATGTGTCCCGCGTGCTCATATGACCTTATGCGGTTGCGAGCCCCGTAAAAACACTTACTAAAGAAAAAAAAAAAGAAAGAAGAGAAGTTGAGCCTTGAGAAGCGTCGGAAAAGCCATGCTCCTCTAATGATGTCTACGGTAAGGTTTTTTACTGGGCCCACTGGGGAAAACCGCTTGGGGACGACGTTTTCCTCTTTCACTGCGATTTGCAAGATTATACCGGATTGTTGAAGAGGATTATACCGCAGGACTGGTTGTGAAGGTGTTAATCTCGGTCTGGTCTTGAAAGTTGAAGCCTGCCTTTGGAAAATATGCATACATAATCTCAGCGAAGCTTTGATTTTGACGTGCAATTTCACAGTGAGATGCTGGAATTGTTTTCGAAACGGTTTTTAATGCGGCTGGTTAGCGGATGATGTGGTGTTTTTTTCCTTTTTCTTTTCTACCAAACACCTGTATTCTTTATCTCTCCTCCTCTTTTTTGTGTGTAAATGTTACTTTCTACTGACACTTCTAATCTTCGGGACTTATACTGTGTTAAAGAGCTGTAAAATTCTTACAATCGAAACTTGACTTCGGCTATCACTATCTTTGTAACCGTTTTATTTTGATGTGACAAAGTCAAATTTTGGAGGGTACCACCACTATGTCCTACTTCTTTTCGGTCCCTTCTTTGTTTCCGTCTGTCTTACTTTTACACAGCTCCAAAATGACCGTTTTAGTCTCAATGTGCTCAATGCTCAAAATCAAAAGAGCTGTGAGGTGGTTTTATGTTTTGAGATAGTCTTAATATATTTTTTTCCTATTTCTTTTCTTGTGAAGGCAAGCTGTGGAGATGGATGAGGATTCTGATGTGGATAAAGAGTTGGACTCGTCCTCCCTGGCTGACCTTCACCATGGGCTGGACTCGAGCCTAGACGAGTCGCGGGATGGGGCTAGCGGAGACGGTGCTTCTACACCCACGCATGGTGAGTAGCGTGCGCAGACTTGTAGAGCAGCCTGGGATTTAGGTTAATACACCTTTCAACACAAATTACGAGTCCTACTTCTTGTCTTCCCGCGTGCTGTTTCAATATGTCGAAATTGCCCCTTACAAGACCTAAATTGTGTCGATCTTTTCTGGGTTTTTTTTTGGGGGGGGGGGGGGGGCAATCCGCTCGTTGTACCTATGGTGTACAGTGTGTTCCAGTTGAACTTTTTACAAGGAAACGTGCATTAAAAATGTGAAAAGTAGTTGTGTGCTCTCTGTAACGTTGTTTGATTAAGTATGAACTGTTTGTTTTACGGGTTTGGTGCTAGCTTTGTTAGCTGTGTTAGGAACACTGGACGGTGTTCAGTGTTTTGTCATATTATTATTGGCTTCTTGAACACATTTTGCACTTACTCGTCTCAGCCTCTACGCACTGTTTTGCTGAATGCGTTCATTATACAGAAAGCCTGAAAAGGGTTAGGTTATGGTAGTCTTCCTCTCCTGGCAGCTTCTCGTTGGACGTAAGACCCCCGGTAAGCTCATGGTTCCCCCCGCTGTCAACCAACGCCCAAATGAAGACGTTATTACGTCACAAGGCGACGAAAAGGCTTCTGGAATGATCAATAAGACTAAAATTTATTTTACTTCCCATCAAAAGAGGGTTTACGTTTATGTAGCTGAGACAGCCGTAGCCCCCTCTCGTGTTTATAGGGGTCGCTTCGCTCTGTTTGAATAGTGTCCCCCATGTTGAGCACAATAAAAGATGACGTCATTTTAATGTGTCCTTGAAGTTGTAAACTGCGCCGGAATCCACTATGTGTGAGGATAACAGGCTTTAAACACCCATTACTACTTTCATTTTCTATTTATTCTATTTTTCTCTTCCGGTCTGTTGAGGACTTTGTAGTTATTTTCCATTTTGCTAAGAACGAAATTTGACACGGATTTTTGATAATGAGGTGTGGCTTTTCTACTTCGAAACACCCACGTCATGGCATTTATTGAATGTCGAGGCAAGGGTGTACTCTGAATTATATATACTTTAGAGGAATTTTAACGTTATTTCATGAACCTGTATCTCCCCGGGGAGTACTCTCTTCGCGCACAAACACAGTCACACTGGTATGCACACGCAAGCACATTCTCTCAAAATATCAAATATACGATTATATTTCAATTTCTAAAAAAGAGAACCTATGTAGGCTAGTCTCTTCGAAAATCATTTATTAAACTACCATCACGACACTCATATATCAGCACAACCATAGTTTGCACTGCTTTTCTTAACACTCATTCAACTTGTTTTGTTTTGTTTTGTTTCGTTTTTTCTTGACACTGGCATAATAGCGAAGACTCTCGACACTCATTGATTATTATACTCTATGAATTGAATAGATAAAACCCACGTCCTGATAGGGAGAGAGAAAAGACTGCGGTGAGATCGAAACGAGATCTATATACAAATATTTCAGTGACGGTTCTGGGTTTTTTGCGTCTTTGTCATGGCTGACAACGTTGACGTCTACACATAATGCGATCGTTTGCATAGCTATTTACACTTTGGTGTATGTATAGACTGTTGAAATTTGTTTTATTGATTCTTTGCAGACGGAAGAGTTCGATGTTCAGTATTGTCTCGAGGAATGTATGGACTTAATCTGCACTTTCAAAATGAAAACAAGTTTTATTTATTAATTTTTATTTTAGAAATAAGAATGCTCGTAGACATGTGTTCGTGCTAAGTTGTTTCGTGTGTTGACACGGTTAGGGAGATGGTATGCGTGATTGTGCGTGTGAGAGAGAGAGAGAGAGAGAGAGAGAGAGAGAGAGAGAGAGAGAGAGAGAGT